TTTTCCACTCAAGGATAGTCCTCTACCACTTGAATCCCAGATCCACTTCCAAAACCAAAAAACTTTACTGAAAAAAGAAAAAACAGAAAAGAAGGTATATGAAGAGATTCCTACTTGTTTGATGTCAATACCCACTTTTTAAAAAATATTTGAAAGCCTGGCATTGGTGGCTTACACCCATAATCCTACCTGCTCAAGAGGCCATGATCTGGAAGATGAAGGCTCAAAGTTAAACCAAGCAGAAAAGTTTACTAGACTCCATTTCCAAAATAACCAGCAAAAAGCCTGGCTGGAAGAATGGCTCAAGTGATAAGAGTGCTAACCCATGAGCAGGCAAACCGAGCAACCATGAGGCCCTGAGTTCAAACCACAGCACTGGTAAAAATAAATAAATATAAAAAATAAATGGGCTGGGAATGTTTCTTAGTGGTAGAGTGCTTGCCTGCCATGTAGGAAGCCCTGGATTCGATTCTTCAGTACCACAAAAACAGGAAAAACTGAATGTGGTACTGTGGCTCAAGTGGTAGCCTTGAGCAAAAGAAGCTCAGGGACACTGAGTTCAAGCCCCAGGATTGGATAAATAAATAAATAAAAACAAAAAACAAAATAAATAAAAAATTTTAAACTGAGTATTTACTAGGTGCTAATATCAGACTATTATACCAGACCTGTGCTGCAAAAATTAACCCATTAGTAGGTGAACATAAGTTCACAAAAAGAGTTTTAAAGAAGTATGTGGTATTTCACAAGATCTTTACCCTTGAACAGAAATAAACCCAAAACAGAAGAAAAATCATTGAAAGTATGTAGCTATTCAATGTGGTAATCTCAAAATTGAAGTGTGGGCTGGTAGTGGAGATGGAATATGAAGAACTATATTAAAGACTTATGAATGAAAATAGTTCACATAAAATATAAAGTAAGCTGGGCACCAGTGGCTTGCACCTGTAGTCCTAACTACTCAAGAGACTGAGATCTGAGAATAGAGGACAAAACAAGAAAGTCCATGACACTTTTATCTCCAATTAACTACCAAAACAGCTAGAGTGGAGCTGTGGCTCAAATGGTAGAGCACTAGCCTTAAGCAAAATAAAAAGCTTAGGGACAGTGCACAAACCCTGAGTTCAAGCCCCACAACCAACACAAAAACAAACAAATGTGTGCATGTGTGTGTGTGTGTGTGTGTGTGTGTAAAGGCATACGAAAATATTACAAATAAAATGTCATAGACATTCAGGGCATAACAAGGTTTTCCGTTAAAGGACAAAGGATCATCCTTAAGGAAAAAAGGTACTAACATTAACTGTACAATCTATAATATGTCATGCCCCATTCTAAATATCTCTGTACATTACAAAATTCTTATGACCCTAGGACCATCATTCTATAGAGGATTACAATAGTAGTCAAGAGATGTTAGGTATTTTTCTATAGAAAAATAAATGTAAAGCCAATGGGATGTTCAAGTCTATCAGACTAAATAAAATACAATGACCTGGGGCTGGGAAGGTGGCTCAGTGGTAGAGCGCTTGCCTTGCATGCCTGAGGCACTGGGTTCGATTCCTCAGCACCACATAAGCAAAAAGAAAAAAGCCGGAAGTGATGCTGTGGCTCAAGTGGTAGAGCGCTAGCCTTGAGCTGAAGAGCTGAGGGACAGTGTCCAGGCCCAGAGTTCAGGCCTCATGACCGGACCCCCCCCAAAAAAAAAATACAATGACCTTTCCAACACAACATCCTGACTAATTAATGTTGAGCCTAATGTCAAAGTTTTTGTTGTGTTGTTTTTTTTTTTTCAGTCAGTCATGGGGCTTGAACTCTGGGCTTTGGCGCTGTCCCTGCACTCTTCAGCTCAAGGCAAGCACTCTACCTTGTTTGAGCTACAGCGCCACTTCCAGTTTTCTAGTGGTTTATTGTAGATAAGAGTCTCACAGACTTCCCTGCCTGGGCTGGCTTTGAACCATGATCCCAGATCTCAGCCTCCTGAGTAGCTAGGATTATAGGCGTGAACCACCGGCACCCGGCTTAATAATGTCAAAGTTTCAACAACTAGAGTCTATCCTCTTTCCTGTGCTATGTAATCATCTGCTGTTCACTAACTGAATAAACTGAAGGCAAGGATTCTTGAACTTTTCTACTTACGGGCACAAGAAACAAACCATAACCCCAGAAAACTCTTTACATGAAATTTCTTTTGAAATTTCTTAATTTTGCCTCTGAAATTAATGTGAATATTGCCTTTTATATTTGTGTGTGTGCTTCTGTGTGTATGCACACATGTACATGCAAACGGCTCGGGTGCTAGGGACTGGGCACTGTCCTTCAGCATTATAACTCAAGGCTGACACTCTACCACTTGAGCTACAGCTCCACTTCTGGCTTTTTGGTGGTTAACTGGAGATGCGAAAGGACTTTTCTTTTTTTTCTTTTTTTTTTTTTTTTTTGTCGGCAGTGGGGCTTGAACTCTGGGCCTGGGCGCTGTCCCTCAGCTCTTCAGCTCAAGGCGAGCGCTCTACCACTTGAGCTACAGCGGCACTTCCAGTTTTCTGGTGGTTTTATAGGAGATAGGAGTCTCACAGTCTCTCCTGCCCGGGCTGGCTTTGAACCGCGATCCTCAGATCTCAGCCTCCTGAGTAGCTAGGATTACAGGCGTGAGCCACCAGCGCCCGGCGAGAAAGGACTTTTCTGCCTAGGCTAGCTTCAAACTACAATCCTCAAATCTCAGCCTCTGGAGTAGCTAGGATTACAGACATGAGCCACCAGCACCAAGGCTTTCCTATATCTTTTTTTTGTGTTCTAATATGAAAATATTATTTTTCTACCCAAATAAAATTGATAACTCCAGAAATGTGTGCCATGTTATGTGACCACAGGTTTAATCTTAGTATAACTGCAGCATATTTCTAATGGTACTAATATGTCAACTTGAAAAGCACAGGTCAGAGAGGATAAAGCTATTTCTTTCCTAGACAAGAAGCAATGACCCATACTGAGGATTATTTAGCACCAAATATAGCTCAAGTCAGTTATTGGCTACAGCCTTATTTACAAGAAAGCAATACTGACCCACATATAGAAAGGAAACACCCTTTTGTCCACCTCACCATAGTAATAAAGAATACTGCCAAAAAGCGAGGATGCACCGCAGAAGTTCCCATGAGCCCTTTAAAGTCACTGTAAGAAATAAAAGTACTGGATCTAGAAATGTTAAATAGATCACCCAGAAAATGTAGTTATCCTTGCCAATGCTCCCCTCTATTAAAAAGTAATCAACACATGCCTTAATATTTTTTCCAAAGTGCTTTCAAATGCATTATTTTATTTAACTCGAGAATCCATTCCCAGATCAAAAAAAAAAAAAAAACAATAGCAAGCATTATCCCCATTGCACAGAATGAGAAACCAGTCAATGGCAAGGTAAGTAGCTCTTCCAAGATTGTAATCTATAGCAAAGGAGAAGTTTAAACCAGGTAATCTGATTTCCAGTTTAGTGATTTGCTAAAGAAAATTGCCCATTTTAATACTGATTTGGAAGTATTTTTCAAACTGCAGTTTATACTAGGCATATCATATGGTGTTCATTCCGTAAGTGATTTCACCAAAAAAGACAATGAACACAATTATATAACTGAAAATATAATTTTAACTCCTGTTCTCTTATGGTACACTCATAGTGCTGGTTTTTATAAGAAGGGAAAAAAGAACTAGAAAGTTGAAGGATGGGAGACACAGGTAAAATCCCCTCACTACACACAAACGCACGTGCACACACACGCACACACATATCACATATAATAGCACTCAAATTCAAGGGTTTAGGATTTTATTTTTTGTATTACAGTAAGTGGTCACTGCTTGTCTCTTTAATCCCTGTATATTTTCTTTCCTGTTGGAAGCAATCTTTACTTTCCCCAAAAATGTAAGGTAAAATGATTCATTACATTTTCTTTCTACATAAGGACTCTGAGGGTGTGCCATATAAAGGAAAATGGGCTCTTAGGCTTTTCTCCTTTCTAGTAAAATGTCAATGCAACCCATGCCGACATTGGGGGGAAAAAAAATTAGATTTACCATTAAAAAAAAATCACAGCCTTTAAAAAGCCTACATGTTAATTCCCGTGTTATTAACTTTCTGAAGCATTCTATGAACTCTACCACGAAGGGAAGACAATAATTAAGTGTTAAGATCACAACCTATGAATCTGGGTGGAACAAAGACTTCTCCTTTCATTACGCAGAGAACCAAGTTGCCAAAAAAAAAAAAAAAAAAAAAAAAAGCTCCCTTCAGATACCATGCGCAGTTAAAAACTGCACGTCTGGGTGGAGAATAAAAACATTATCTGATCAAAGGTGGCCCCTGACTCTCCTGACCCCCCCCACCCCCGCTCCTTTGCCAGAGGCCTCACCCCCATCTTTTTTTTCCTCCCCAATGTAGAGAAGTGACTTAACCCTAGGAGCTCTACAACCTCCGGCGTCCACGACGCAGGCGCCCCTCGCATTCCAAACCCAATCTCTCCCTCTCTCCCCCATCCCTCCTGCCACAGCCCCTCTTCAAAGGCCAGCTCCTTTGACCACTGACGTCAGGAAGGACAAACCCGGCCCCGCGGGGCTGCCGCCCCCCGCTACCCGCCCCCCCCCCCCGCAACCCCGGCCTGGCAGCTCCCTCCTTTCCAGCCAAGGCGTGCCCAGAAAGAGACGCGAGCGCAGCCCGATCCGTGCACCGTCCAGCAGGAAGACCAGGAAGCCAGACAGAGCGCAATCAGCCCTCTCCGGCCCCTCCGGCTCTTCCGGCGGCCAGGTGAGCTCGAACGCGGCTCCGGCATCGCCCACCCACCCACCGCCTCCCAAGCACCACCCAAAGCCCTACCCGCCTCCCCGGCTGCGAACGCCGCCCTCGGGGCCGCCGGGTCCCAGCCCCGTCAGGACGTGACAGGTGGCGACGGGTGACCATGGCAACCCGCGGTGTGCGGCGGCCCGCCCCCGCTGCCCAGAGCCGCTCTCACCTGAAGGCTCCGAGGCGAACCCGGACAAGTGGCGGCGGAGGTGAACGCGGCCCAGCGGGCCAGACGCCGGGCTCTGGAAGCAGCCGGCTGAGGTGAGAGCGCGAGGGCGGCAGTCTCAGGTTGGAGTCGGTCCTTTTTTCCAGTCGCCCGCGCGTCAGTCCATCCGTTCGTCAGCCCGTCCTTCTCGGCCCGCCCCGCCCCGGCCGGCGACTGCTGGGCTCAGCCTCTTGGCACACTGCGGTTGTCAAGCGCGCTGGGGCCGAGCTTCAGACACCAGCTGCAGCCAATCGCTGCGCCTTCCCGAGACGCCTCAGGACCCCGCCGTGCTGGGTGACTAGGCAGGTGCCTGCGCCGAAGGGAGAGTCTGCGGGCTGTGAGCCCAGGCCCAGGGCGGGGCCGAGCCAGGGCGGAGGCGGGAGGGAGAGGAGGCAAGGCGGGGCCTGAGAGGGCGGCGGCGGGGCAGGAGTGGGCGGGGCTAGGCGGGCCTGCTAAGCAAATGAGATTCCGAAGGAAAAGCGGGCTTGTGAGTGGCAGGTATCCTGGAACGCAGACTCTAGGCGGGTGGGTTACTCTGTGACCCGAAATAGATCGACTCCTGTCTCTGCCCAGTGGAGAAGTAGTTTAGGATTGGCTCCTGGGGGGTTATTAATAAGGCAAATGAAGTATCTTGCCTTCTCCCACTTCTCTTGCCCTTCCAGGCGTCACACTCGTCCCTGGAAACCTCCAATAGCTTGTCTGAGTCTTTCTTGGTTACTCATTTTGTGGAGCTGTGAAGCCACTCGACATTTCACGTGTTTGCCCCCCCCCCCCCGCCCTTGGGGTGTGGGGTGCGGAGCATGAATTCAGAACCTGAGCTCTTTAGCTCAAAGCTAGTGCTTTACCAACTTGGAGCCACAGCACTGCTTCCAGTTTTCTGGTGGTTCCTTGGAGGTAAGAATCTCATGAACTTTCCTGCCCAAGCTGGCTTTGAACCCCCATCCCCAGATCTCAGCTTCCTGAGTAGGTAGGATTATAGGCGTGAGCCACCGGCCTCCAGTTCACAGGTCCACCTTTTTTGCCTACCCTTTTCGGTTGTGAGCACGTTCTTCGCACCCCAAAGAGGAACATATTCCACCAATGTATGTGATGCTCAATGGAGTTGAATTAAACATCTCCAGAGTATAAAGATACCAAACTATGAAAGATACAGTACCTAAATCTGAAAGAAACTTTTGTGAGGACAAAAGTCCACAGGCAACTTAGCCTCCCAAAAGTGAGAAATGGGTCACAGCTTGGTAAAGAGAATAACCATCAAAAACATTTCTGGGAAGGAAGAAATCAGCCCAATAGAAAAAGCCAAATCTTGGGGGGAAAGTTCTAAGAAAAATAATTGTAAATTCAAAGGAAACACACAAAAGTTGAACTGGGCCGAGCGCCAGTGGCTAACACCAGTAATCTTAACTACTCAGGAGGCTAAGATCTTTGGATGGAGTTAGAAACCAGTTTGGGCAGCAAAAGTCCATGATACTCTTTTCTCCAATTAAGCACTCAAAAACCAGAAGTGGAGCTGTGGCTCAAAGTGGTAGAGTGCTAGCCTTGAGCAAAAGAGGTCAGTGACAGCGCTTTGGCCCTGAATTCAAGCCCCATTAACTGAAAAAAAAAAAATCAGAAGCAGAGCTGTGGCTCATATGGTAGAGGCCCTGAGTTCAAGTCCCAGGACTAGCACACACACACACACAAATCTGTTACTTCATATCACTTTTACACTGATAAACTCACTGTCTATATATAAACATCAATTTTTACACCACAACTTTAATAGCTGTTAATCCAAAGTATCACCTTTCCTTCTATACTCAGCCACACTGATTAAGATTAGCTCTTCCTGTCTTTCGCTCTGGTTGCTGCAATATAGCAGTGAATTGTTCAGAAAAGACAAGGCTTTCTTAGATGAAGAGCTGCCCTTAAATCCTGAAGTACTGCCTCAATCATTTGCCAAACTCTTAGTGAATGCCTACTCTGGGTCAGAAACCAGGCTAAGTCATGTGGAAATGCAAGTTCTAACAGAACAGAATGACTCATGTTGTCTTCTGACTTAAATGCCTGTAGACTAAGGTGGGCCCTTTTGTGGTGTGTGTGTGCGCGTGTGCGCTGGTCCTGGGGTTTGAACTCAAGTCTTGGGAAGCTGTCCCTGAGCTTCTTTTGCTCAAGGGTAGTACTCTACCATTTGAGCCACAGTTCCACTTTCCACAGTGAACCCCTTTGAAAATGACTCTCAAGTCTAATTTTGTGTGTCTGTGTGTGTCTTGGGAGCTGAACTCAGGGCCAGGGAGCTATCCATGAGCTTTTTTGCTCAAGGATAGCACTCTACTATTTGAGCCAGAGCTTCACTTCTAGCTTTTCGAGTGCTTAGTTGGAGATAAACGTGTCCCAGTGTCCTGGCTAGCTTCAAACTATGATCCTCACATGCCAGACTCCTGAGTAGCTAGGATTACAGGCATAAGCCTCCAGCACCTGACTGGAATCTAGTTTTTAGAAAGAATAGAATTTGGTATTCTCCAAGTATTAGAAAATGTTTCCAAGCTCTAGCTAGGAAAATATTTTAATATACTTATTTTATTATTTTTAAGTAGGTATACAAAGGGGTTTCAATTCAATCAAGCTAGGAAATCATAACTCAAGTTCAGGAGAGTTCAATGGGAATAAGGGAACTTGTTTAAAAAGCTCCATTCTTATTTCTTGATAAAAAAGTTTTGTGTTTCAGAGCCAGTATTGTCCTAGATTTGGGAGAACAAAGTACCACTGATTCTACTTTTTAAACAGATTCAAGGGTTATGGAGATGCAATTATCTAGATCCACCAGAATTCCTACACAAAAGCTTAAATTATGCATTGATAATTAAACCTAGTAGAAAAAAATACATCCTTTTATTTCAACATAAAGGGGATATTTTTATTTATATTAAATGAATACCTCAGCTGGGCACTGGTAGCTCATACTGATAATCCTAACTACTCAGGAGGCTGAGATCTGAGGATGACGGTTCAAAGCCAACCCAGGCAGGAAAGTCCTTATCTCTAATTAACCACCAGAAAACTGGAAGTGGAGCTGTGGCTCAAAGTAGAAGAGCACTAGCCTTGAGCAAAAGAGCTCAGAGACAGTGCATAGGCCTTGAATTCAAGTCCCATAACTAACTAAATACATACATACATACATACATATATATATATATATATATATATATATATATACACACACACACACTAACTATTATCATCTATCATTGAAATAAAAATAAATATTTTGGAAAAAGAGGATCATGGTTTGAAGTCAACCCTGGCAGACAAATCTGATCCATATCTATATTTAACCAGCAAAATGCTAGTACAAGTGTGGCTCCAGTGGTAAAGTGCTAGCTTTGAACAAAAAAGCTATATGAAAGTACCAGTCCCTGAGTTCAAGCACTAGTATTGGCACAAGCACACACACACACACACACACCAGTTCTGGGGCTTAAACTCAGGGCCTAGGCACTGTCCCAGAGTTTTTATGTTCAAGGCTAGGGCTCTATCATTTCCAACATTTTTACTGGTTAATGAGAGATAAGAATTTTATTTTATTTCTGGTCTGGATTCAAACTAGATCTCAGCCTCCTGAATAGCTAGGATTACAGGAGTGAGCCACTGGCACCCAGCTATAAAGGTTTTATTTTAAGTGTCATGGAAATAAAACTCACAAAAAGAAACTAAATATAAATCACTAAAAATCAGTAAAGCACATTAATCATCATAATTTAACATAGGTGATTATAGGGTAAGGCTAGTAAATTTCTAGCAGTAAGTTTGAAACTGTTTAGTAGGACTTGCTATACAAATGAAAGGAATAAGCCAGGCTCACACCTGTAATCTTAGCTACTCAGGAGGCTGAGATCTAAGGATTGTGGTTCAAAGCCAGCTCAAGCAGGAAAGTTCATGAGATTCTTATCTCCTATTAACCACCAGAAAACTGGAAGTAGTGCTGTGGCTCTAAGTGGTAGAGCACTAGCCTTGGGTAAAAGTGTTCAGGCACAGCACCTAGGACCTGAGTTCAAGCCCCACAACCAACCACAAAAAAAAAAAAAAAAAAAAAAAGCCAGGCACCAGTGGCTCACACCTTTAATCCTAGCTACACAGGAGGCTGAGATATGAGGATCTCGGTTCAAAGCCAGCCCAGGCAGGAAAATCCGTGAGACTCTTATCTCCAATAAACCACTAGAAAAGTGGAAGTGGTGCTGTGGCTCAAGTGGTAGAGCACTGGTCTTGAGCTGAAGAGCCCAGGGACAGCACCCAGGCCCTGAGTTCAAGCCCCATGACCAACAAAAAAGGAAAAAGAAAGAAAAGAAAGGAATATCAGAAATTCATCAAAATGAATATATTAGTGAAAGTTTACATGCTTCAAAATACTTATAAAAATGCTATTTCAGGGCCTGGGTACTGTTTCTGAGCTTTTTTTGCTCAAGACTAGCACACTACTACTTTTAGGCACAGCTCCACTTCTGGTTTTCAGGTAGTTAATTGGAAATAGATTCTCAAGGACTTTCCTGTCTGGGCTGGCTTCAAACCACAGTCCTTATATCTCAGCCTCCTAGTAGTAAGGACTACAGGTATGAACAACCAGCATCCAGCTATTTCTTTTTTTTTTTTTTTGCCGGTTGTGGGGCCTGAACTCTGGGCCTGGGTGCTGTCCCTCAGCTCTTCAGCTCAAGGCTAGCGCTCTACCACTTGAGCCACAGCGCCACTTGTGGCTTTTTCTGCATCTGTGGTGCTGAGGAATCGAACCCAGGGCCTCATGCATGCAAGGCAAGCACTCTACCACTGAGCCACCTTCCCAGCCCGTGTTATATATATATATATATATATATATATACATATACATATATATACACACACACACACACACACATAATTCTCTGCTTGAGCATCTAAATAAGCAAGGACTTAAAAGGTATAATATTCTTAAAAGAGAAAGCTTTATGTCAAAACAAACTGCAGAAGGAACTATCATGAAGTAAAAGAAATATAGACAAGCCAAGCTGACTTCAGAAGTGGAAGGCACAGAAGATAAACATTGCTAGCTTTAAAGACTGAAGAAGGGGACCATAAGCCAAGAAACAAAGGATGGGGGGAGGAGGAGGAAAAGGAAGAGGAGGAAGAAGAAAAACAGGCAAATGGTCAGGTACCTGTGGCTTATTCCTGTAACCAATCGTAGCTATCAGGAGACTGAGATCTGAGGACTGAGGTTCAAAACCAACCAAGGCAGGAAAGTCTGAAATTCTTATCTCCAATTAAAACACCAAAAAGCCAGAAGTAGAGCTGTAGCTCAGGGTAGAGTG